CTTGGTTACCAGCTCAGCCACAGCAAGATAGGGCACAAGTCAGAGCAGTGAGGCTCTGTTCCAGGTCATAGCTCCCAGATGACATTTCAAGACATACCCTGAGCCAGAAGGGTATTCCCTGCCTCGAAGAAAAGGGCTCAATCCTTACAGCATTCATCATCTGCTAACTGAAGAGCCCTTGGGCCCTGAATAACCAGCAGTGATGCCCAGGAATCACCTCGAGGGTCTTGCTGAGCCTCTGAGACTTGCTGGCTGCAGGTGAGACTCAGCATATTTCCACTGTGGTGCTATGGGGCAAAACTCCTGCTTTAGAAAAGCAGAGGGAAAAGTAAAGGGGACTTTGTCTTGCCCCTTAGGTACCAACACCACCACAGGGAGGTAGAGCATCAAGTGGGCTCCTGGGGTCCCTGATTCTAGAGCTGACCGTTGGATAGCATTTATGGAACTGCCCTGGGCCAGAGGAGTGCTCACAGCACTGAAAAATGAGTCCTACACCAGGCAACATTCACCACAAGTGGACTTAAGAGCCCCTGTAACTTAGGGGTACTCCAGTGGTATTCTGGCAGTACACCTTGCCTTGTAGCCAGGGGAGGCAGTGGCTAACAGGTGAGGCTACTCTGCCTTTGGAAAGTGAAGGGAAGGATAAGAAGGTCTGAGACTTGTGGTTTGAGTACCAGCTCAGCTGCAATGCAATAGAATACCAGGTACACTTCTAAGGTTTTTTAACTCTAGTCTCTGACCACCAGACAACACGTCTAGATTCACCCAGAGATTGGGGGACCTCGCCATCCTGAAGGGAAGAACACAGGCCTGGCTGGCTTAGCTACCTGTGGATTGTAGAATCCCAGGACCTTGAGAAAACATAGGCAGTAGTAAGGGAGTGGTTACAATGGGCCTTAGGCAAGACTCAGCGCTTCTCTGGCTTCAGGTGTGACCCAGCACAGTCACAGTGGTGGTGGCCACAGGGATGCCTGTGTCACTCCATCCCCAGATTTAGGTGACTCAGAACAGAGAGAGACTCTTTATGTTTTGGAGAAAGTAAGGGAAGAGAAAAAGAGTCTCTGCCTGGTCATGTATAGAATTCTCCCAAATCATGTTCAAGACCATCAGGGCAGCTCCTCTACGAGTCTGAGAGAACCACAGCATTACTGGGCCTGGGGTGCCTCATAAAGAAGACACAGTTTAGATCACAACACCCAGGTCCTTTCAAATAGCTGGAACGCCTTTCCAAGAAGGACAGCTACAAATAAGCCTAGACAGTGAAGACTACATTAAATACTTAACTCTTCAATGACCAGACACCAAAGAATAGCTACTAGCATCAACACCATCCAGAAAAACATGGCCTTCCAAATAAACTGGAAAAGGCACCAGGGACCAATCCTGGAGAAACAGAGACATGTGGACTTTCACAGAGAGAATTCAAAATAGCTGTGTTGAGGAAACTCAAAGAAATTCAAGATAAGAGAGAGGAGGACTTCAGAATTGTATCAGATAAATTTAACAAAGAGATTGAAATAATTAAAAAGAACCAGGTGGAAATACTGGAGCTGAAAAATGCAACTGGCATATTGAAAAATGAATCAGAGTCTTTTAATATCAGAATAGACAAAACAGAAGAATTAGTGAGCCTAAAGATAGGCCACTTGAAAATACACAGAGGAGGCAAAAGAAAAAAGAATAAGAAATAATGATGCACACCTACAGGATTTAGAAAATAGATTGAAAAAAGGAACCTAAGAGTGGTTGGCCTCAAAGAAGAGGTAAAGAAAGAAATAAGGATAGAAAGTTTATTCAAAGGGATAATAATGAGAACTTCTGAAACCTAGAGAAATATATTAATATCCAAGTACAAGAACATTATAGAACACCAAGCAGATTTAACTCAAAGAAGACTACCCCAAGGCATTTAATAATCAAGTCTCCAAATGTCAAGAATAAAACATCCTAAAAGCAGCAAGAGAAAAGAAACAAATAACATACAACGGATCAGAAATACACTGGGCAGCAGACTTTTCACTGTAAACCACTTTACAGGATAGAAGGGCATGGCATCATGTACTTAAAGTGCTAAAGAAAAAAAAACCCTTTTACCTTAGAATGGTATATTCAGTGAAAATATCCTTTAAACATGAAGGAGAAGTACTTTCCAAGACAAACAAAAGCTGAGGGATATCATCAACACCAGACCTGTGCTAAAAGGAATGCTAAAGGAAGTACTTCAACCAGAAAGAAAGGGACATTAATGAGCAATAAATAATCACCTGAAGGTACAAAGCTCACTAGTAATAGTACACAGAAAAACACAGAATATTATAATACTATACTGTAACTGAGGTGTATAAACTACTCTTATCCTAAGTAAAAAGACTAAATAATGAACCAATCAAAAAGAAGAACTACAACTTTTTAAGACATAGTACAACAGTAAGACGTAAGTAGAAACAATAAAATGTTAATAAGTGGGGGGATGAAGTTAGGGCAAGTTTTTATTAGTTTTCTTTTTGCTTGTTTATGTAAATAGTGTTAAGTTGTTATCAGGTTAAAATAATGGGTTATAAGAAGGTATCTGCAAGCCTCATGGGAACCTCAAACCAAAAAACGTACAAGGGACGCACTAAAAATAAAATGCAAAAAACTAAATCATATTACCAGAGAAAATCACCTTCACTAGAGGAAGACAGAAATGAAAGAAAGAAGGAAGAGAAAGCCACAAAACCACCAGGAAACAAAAAATCAAAATAGAAGTACTAAGTCCTTACTTATCAATAACACTGAATGTAAACTTCCCAATCAAAAGACACTGACTAACTGAATAGATAAAAAACCAAGACCCATGTATCTGTTGCCTGGAAGAAACACACTTCACCTATAAAGACACACAGACTGAAAATGAAAGGACAGAAATAGACATTCCATGCCAATGAAACCAAAACAGAACAGGAGTCACTACACTTATATCAAACAAAATAGATTTAAAGACCAAAACTGTAAAAAGAGACAAAGAAGGTCACTATGTGATGATAAAGAGGTCAGTTCAGCCAGAGGACATAATAATTTTAAATAGATATGCACCCAACACTGCAGTGCCCAGATATATAAAGCAAATATTACTCAAGTAAAAGAGAGATGTAGACCCCAATACAATAACAACTGGAGACTTCAACACCACACTTTCAGCATTGGAAATAGCTTCCAGACAGAAAGTCAACAAAGAAACAGCAGACTTAATCTGCACTACAGACCAAATGGATCTAATAGATATTTACAGAACATGGAATGCAACAACTGCATAATACATATTCTTTCCCCCAGCACATAGGTCTTTCTCAAGAATAGGTTGTATTTTAGGTCACAAAACAACTCTGAAAACATTTTAAAAACAGAAATAATATCAAGCATCTTCTAGAACCACAATGGAATAAAACTAGAAATCAATAGGAATTTTGAAAACTATACAAATACATAGAAATTAAACAATATGCTCCTGAATAACTGGTGGTTCAATGAAGAAATTAAAAAGGATATTGAAAAATTTCTCGAAACAAATGGTAATTCAATACAAAATGCTAAAACCTATGGAATACAGTAAAAGCAGTACTCAGAGGAAGTTGATAGCTGTGAGTATCTACATCAAAAAAGAGGAAAAACCTCAAATAAATAATTGAATGATGTATCTTAAAGAACTAGAAAAGAAAGAGCAAACCAAACCCATAATTAGTAGAACAAAAGAAATAATAAATACCAAGCAAAAATAAATGAAATTGAAATCAAAAATACAATACAAAATATCAATGAAACAAAAAGCTGGGTTTTTTTTTGAAAAGTTAAACAAAATTGACAAACTGTTAGACAGACTAACAAAGGAAAAAAGCAAGAAGATCCAAATATGTCAAATCAGAAATGAAAAAGGAGACATTACAACTGATACTGCAGAAATTCGAAGGATCATTAGTGGCTACTAGGAGCAACTATATGCCAGTAATTTGGAAAATCTAGAAGAAATGAACAAATTCCTAAAGAGATACAGCCTACTGACATTAAACCAGGAAGAAATCCAAAACCTGAACAGGCCGATAACAAGTAGTGAATTTGAAGTCATAATAAAAAACACTCCCAGTAAAGAAAAGCCCAGGACTTAATGGCTTCATTGCTGAATTCTAACAAACATTTAAAGAACTAATACCAATATTACCAAAACTATTCTGAAAAATAGAGGAGGAAGGATTGCTTCCAAACTCATTCTATGAGGCCAGTACTACCCTGATACCAAAACCAGACAAAGACACATCCAAAACAGAAAGCTACAAGCCAAAATCTCTGATGAATATTGATGCAAAAATCCTCAACAAAATACTAGAAAACAAAATTCCACACTAAATTAGATCATTCATCATGACCTGGTAGGATTTTTTCCCTGGTATGCAAGGATGATTCAACATATATAAATCAAACAGTGGGATACATCACACTAATAGAATAAAGGATAAAAATGGTATCATTTCAATTGATGCTGACAAAGCATTTGATATAATTCAACATTCCTTCATGATAAAAACCCTCACAAAACTGGGAATAGAAGGAACATGCTTCAACATAATAAAAGCCATACACAACAGACCCATAGCTAGTATCACAACGAATGGAGAAAAACTGAAAGCTTTTCCTCTAACATCTAGAACATGACAAGGACGCCCAGTGTCAAAAGTGTTATTCAACATAGTACCAGAAGTCCTAGCTAGATCAATCAGACAAAAACAAAAGCAAACAACAACAAAAAGATATAAAGGCATCCAAAGTGGAAAGGAAGAAGTCAAATTATCTTTGTTTGCAGATGGTGATATGATCTTATATTTGGGAAAACCTATAAACTCCACAAGAAAACTATTAGAACTGATAAAAATCAGTAAAATTTCAGGAAACAAAATCAACACACAAAAAGGACTAGCATTTCTATGTGCCAACAAAGAACAATCTGAAAAAGAAATAAAAAAATAATTCCAGTGCTTGCTTTGGCAGCATTAAAACTGGAATGATACAGAGAAGATAGCATGGCCCCTGAACAAGGATGATATGCAAATTCATGAAGTGTTTCATAGTTTTCATCCTATGGCAGTCAGAATAGTATTATTAAAAAGTCAGGAAACAATAAATGCTGGCGAGGCTGTGGAGAAATTGGAAAGCTATTACGCTGTTGGTGGGAATGTAAATTAGTTCAACCATTGTGGAAGACAGTGTAGTGATTCCTCAAGGATCTAGAACGAGAAATACCATTTGACCCAGATTTCCATTACTGGGTGTATACCCAAAGAATTATAAATCATTCTGCTGTAAAGACACATGCATGTATATATTTACTGCAGCACTATTTACAATAACAAAGATAGAACCAACCCAAATGCCCATCAGTGATAAACTGGATAAAGAAAATGTGGTACATATACACCATGGAATACTATACAGCCATAAAAAGGAATGAGAGCATGTTCTTTGCCGGGACATGGATGAAGCTGGAAGCCATCATCCTCGGCAAAGTAACACAGGAACAGAAAACGAAACACCACATGTTCTCAGCCATAAAGGGGAGTTGAATAATGAGAATACATGGACACAGGAAGGGAAACAATGCACACTGGGGCCTGTTGGGGGGTAGGGGCGAAAGAAGGGAGAGCATTAGGATAAACAGCTAATGTACGCAGGGCTTAAAACTTAGATGATGGGTTGACAAGTCCAGCAAACCACCATGGCACACATATACCTATGTGACAAACCTATCTGTTCTGTACTTGTATTCTGGAACTTAAAGTAAAATAAAAAAATTTTAAAAAGTAATCCAATTTACAATAGCCACACATAAAACTAAATACCTATGCATTAACTTAAGCAAACAAATGCAAGATCTCTATAATGAAAACTGTAAAACACTGATGAATGATATTAAAGAGGACACCAAAAAATAGAAAAATCTTCCATGTTCATGGATTGGAAGAATCAATATTGTTAAAATGTCCACAGGACCCAAAGCAATCGACAGATTAAAAGCAATGTCCATCAAAATGCCAATGACATTCTTCACAGAAATAGAAAAAAAATTCCCAAATTTATATGGAACCACAAAAGACCCAGAATAGCCAAAGTTATCCTAAGTAAAAAGAAAAAAACTGAAGGAACTGTTCCTTCATAATTCTTCAAATTATACTACAGAGCTATAGTAACCAAAACAGCATGGTACTGGCATAAAAGTAGACATATAGACCAATGGACAGAATAGAGAACCCAGAAACAAATCCACAAACCTACAATGACCTCATTATTGAGAAAGGTGCCAAAAACATAATCTGGGGGAAAGACAATCTCATCAATAAATGGTGCTGCAAAAATTGGATATCCATATGCAGAAAGATGCAGCTAGACCCCTATCTCCTCTATATACAAAAATCAAATCAAAAGACATTAAAGACTTAAATCTAAGACCTCAAACCATAAAAATACTACAAGAAAACATTGAGGAAAATCTCCAGGATACTGGTCTTGGCAAAAATTTCTTGAGCAACACCCCACAAGCAATGTAAAAATGGACAAATTGGATCATATCAAGTTAAAAAGCTGCACAGCAAAGGATGTAATCAACAAAGTAAAGAGTCAGTTCACGGAATGGGAGAAAATATTTTCAAACCACCCATCTGACAAAAGATTAATAGCCAGAATACATAAGGAACTCAAAGAATTCCACCAGAAAAAAAAATATCCAATAATCCAATCAAAACATTGGCAAAAGATTTGCATAGACAGTACTCAAAAGAAGACATACAAATGGCAAACATGCATCTGAAAAGGTGTTCAACATAGTTAATCATCAGTGAAATACAAATCAAAACTACAATGAAATAACATCTCAACCCCAGTTAAAATGGCTTATATCGAAAAGATAGGCAATAGCAAATGCTAACGAGGATGTGACGAAAAGGGAATCCTCATATACTGTTGGTAGGAATGTAAGTTAGTACAACTCCTAAGGAGACCAGTATAGAGTTTCTTCAAAAAAAAACCTAAAACTTGGGATACCATATAATTCAGCAATTCCACTGCTGGTTATTACCCCAAAGAAAGGAAATCAGCATATCAAAGAGATATCTGCACAACTATATTTGTTGCAGCACTGTTTACAATAGCTAATATTTGGAAGCAACCTAAGTGTCCACCAACAGATGAATGGATAAAGAAAATGTGGTACATGGAACAACCCAGGATTGGAGCTCGCGTTGAATCCGCAAACGGTGAGTCAGAGCTGCATTTACAGACTGATCTTTGTTGCCCACAGAACGGGGAAACTCCCAAGTATAAAAAGACACGGGACGCTAGGCAGTAGGTCTGCCTGGAGGCCGGCCCTACCCAGCAATCCCCACAGGGCGCGCTTGTCTGGGTGCCCTGTTGAACCGGCAACCTGAGCCTTGAGAGGGCTGGACTTGAGACTGAACGAGATTTGGACAGTAGCCCAGCCCAGGGGATTGCAGGGACAGATCGTTTGGGATACCCAGTGGGACGAACAAAACCGCGATTTCAAACTATCCCGAGCAGACGGTCCGAGATGCTCTGTGGGAAAGGGGCGTCCACCACTACCGAGGCAACCCGCCCCAACTGAGATACACGCCCACTGCTGACTCAGCCAGCCATTGCCGAGGCAACCCGTCCCTACTGAGATACACGCCCGCTGCTGACGCAGCCTGCCGTTGCTGAGGCAACACACTACAAAGAAAAGACTCTGCCGCAGAGCATGGCAGAGACCACAGCAGAGCCTGCAGGAACAGGGCGAATCACACAACAGCAGGGCGGAGCCTCGGCAGCCAAACAGTGGCTAGTCTGCCTTCTAGCTGGGCAGGACACCTCATCGAACATCCAAAAATAAAGCCCAAACCCCTCAACACAGAGCATTTGAGAAAAAAAAAAGGGTTTTTTAATGAGTTCTGTTGTGGCAGAATCAAACATAGCAGCCTAACAGCCCTGAATGAACAACAGAGCTCACAGCTCAGCAATTAAGCCCCTATAAACTAAAAACTGTCTCCTCAAACAGCTCCCTGACCCCTCTATATCCAAAAGACTGACATTAGGCAGGCATCATCCTGAGACAAACATAGCAGAAAAAGAAACTGGTAGCATCCCTCGCTGTGCCACAGCTGCTAGAGGTGCACCACAGACAAGCAGGGTCTGGAGCGGACCTCAGCAGTCGTACAGCAAAGGGGCTAGACTGGTAGAAGGAAAACCAAGCAACAGAAATACTTCATCATCAACATTCTGGGTGTCCACTCAGAGACCCAATCGAAAAGTCAGCAACTACGCAAACGACCAGCGGACAAATCCACAAAGATGGGAAGAAACCAGCGCAAAAAGGGGGAAAACACCCGAAACCAGAACACCTCGCCTCCTAGAAAGGACCAAAACTCCTCACCAGCAAGGGAACAAAGCTGGACGGAGAATGACTGTGACGAAATGACGGAATTAGACTTCAGAAGATGGATAATGAGAAACTTTTGTGAGCTAAAAGATCATGTATTAAATCAATGCAAAGAAACTAAGAACCTTGAAAAAAGATTTGAAAAAAGATTCGAGGAAATGATAACAAGAATGGATAACTTAGAGAGAAATATGAATGAATTAAAAGAGCTGAAAAACACAATATGAGAACTTCGCGAAGCAAACACAAGTTTCAATAGCCGAATTGACCAAGCAGAAGAAAGAATATCTGAAGTCGAAGACCAACTCAATGAAATAAAACGAGAAACCAAGATCAGAGAAAAAAGCACAAAAAGGAATGAACAAAGTCTCCAAGAAATGTGGGACTATGTGAAAAGACCTAACCTACGTTTGATAGGTGTACCAGAAGGGGACGAAGAGAATGAATCCCAGCTGGAAAATACTCTTCAGGACATCATCCAGGAAAATTTCCTCCACCTAGCAAGACAGGCCAACACTCAAATGCAGGAAATACAGAGAACACCACAAAGATATTCTGCAAGAAGAGCAACCCCAAGGCACATAATCGTCAGATTCAACAGGGTTGAAATAAAGGAGAGAATACTAAGGGCAGCCAGGGAGAAAGGTCGGGTCACCCACAAACGGAAGGCCATCAGACTCACAGCAGATCTCTCAGCAGAAACACTACAAGCCAGAAGAGAGTGGGGGCCAATATTCAACATTCTTAGAGAAAAGAACTTTCAACCCAGAATTTCATATCCAGCCAAACTGAGCTTCAGAAGTGAAGGAAAAATAAAATCCTTTGCGAACAAGCAAGTACTCAGAGATTTTGTCACCACCAGGCCTGCTTTACAAGAGCTCCTAAAAGAGGCACTACACATAGAAAGGATCAACCACTACCAGCCATTCCAAAATCACACTGAATGCTAAAGAGCTTCAACATAATGAAGAATCTACAACAACTAACAGGCAAAACAGCCACTTAGCATCAAAATGGCAGTATCAAATTCACACATAACAATATTAACCCTAAATGTAAATGGACTAAATGCACCAATCAAAAGACACAGACTGGCAAATTGGATAAAAATCCAAAACCCATCAGTGTGCTGTATCCAGGAAACCCATCTCACATGCAAGGATACACAGGCTCAAAATAAAGGGATGGAGGAAGATTTACCAAGCTAATGGAAAGCAAAAAAAGCAGGAGTTGCAATTCTCATCTCTGATAAAATAGACTTTAAAGCAACAATGATCAAAAGAGACAAAGAAGGCCATTACATCATGGTAAAAGGATCGATACAACAAGAAGAGCTAACGATCCTAAACATATATGGACCCAATGCAGGAGCACCCAGATACATAAGGCAAGTTCTTAATGACTTACAAAAGGACTTAGACTCCCACACAATAATAATGGGAGACTTTAACACTCCACTGTCAATACTAGACAGATCAACCAGACAGAAAATCAACAAGGATATCCAGGGCTTGAACTCAGACCTGGAGCAAGCAAACCTGGTGGACATTTACAGAACTCTCCACCCCAAATCCACAGAATACACATTCTTCTCAGCACCACATCACACCTACTCTAAAATTGACCACATAATTGGAAGTAAAGCACTGCT